GTAGTATTTTATGAAATATTTTTAAAATTTGAAAAGTTTTTTTATTTACCTACTGAGTGACTCAATTTGCAACCAACTCCAAGCTTTTAAAATCCCACATACAGTACAGTAGTCCAAAGACTCCAAACTAGATGTCAACATTTGATAAAGGCGAAGAAGAATAACTCCAGCCCACTTGAAGAACTCAAAATTTAAATCTACTCTTATCCGTAGTCTTCTCTTTTCCACCATCTGCCCAAACTGTTGAGCGGTCCTCGGAGGTCAAAGTTATCACATGTGCTTCTTCAGACTTACGGAGACCACCCGGTCCATGAATGAATCCGCCCCTGCCCCAAATCATATTGCAGATGTGTTGATTGAGGATAATCGAAGTTACTAATGTATTTGGTATTGAGTTTGACTTTCTTAAATAAATCATCATACTTTCATCAAAACAAATTGTATTTTCTCATTGCAAAAACGTTACCGAAATGGTTCCCTAGTAAAAGATAAACAAACAACTTATACTTTAGCATATACTTGAAGTGTAATGTAGGTCAGAAATACAAGCGAATATAGTTTACTTGGATTATTAACATAAGATGAAGCATTGTGTCTTGTTCAAGTCAACAACAAAGAAGAAAAAGTGGTTTGTATGTTCGAATTTTTTTCCTTTCTTTTTGGAAATTGTTATTTGTACTTTGAAAAATTTACTTGTGCACATGTAATGTTTGGGAGACTATTAATTTAAAGTATATTTTGTAAATCATATGTTATAGTTGTTGATGATTAAATTATTACTTAAGTGTTGATTAAGCTGCTTAGTTTCTATGAGTAATGTTAAGAAGGCCAACTTTTTAAACTAAATTCGCAAACCATATAATGTGTCTCCAATAAGAAATAAGTACGTTAATAAACACTTAAGTAATAATTCAATCATCAACAACCACATCATTTGTTTTACAAAATTTGGTTTAAAATGTTAATCTCCCTAGCATTGCTCATTTCTATTAGTGACACATCACATAATTTAAAAGTGTGTCTAGATAGCATTACTAATTATGCACTCCAAACCTTCTATATTCCATATGGAACTCCATTGGAGGTGACTTTTTTAGGAAAGGGGTCAAATTGGGCCATTTAGGCTACCGTTGAAGATCAAGATGTCCTTATAAGCACATCAATGTCCCTTATTTACTCGATGTGGGAGTGATACTCTCAACATTATATCATTTGTACCCTTCGTCTATTATATAGGATTTTAATCATAACTAGATCCTAAAATTGACATATCTCGTCAAGATGGTGCCTAAAATTGAAATCGATTTTCTATTTCAATGATCATCTTAATGGAGTGGGTCAACTTCAGAAATTACTTGTGATAAAAACTTATTATATATTGTTAACGTTCAAAACTTGCATGTTAACAAATTAAAACAATAAACCCTTAGTGGACTTGGGATATAGACTAAAATGAAATAGACTCAAAATGGTTCATCTGTGAAATTGGGCCACATCCACTGTGTTGCTTGGATTATATTGATTTCAGGAATAAAAAGAGCTATCAGCTAATAAATGAACTCTCTCTCTGTTTCAAGTCGTTTGACGCCAATACAAGAGGTCCCATTCTTTTATATAGGCCCTCAATGACACCCCCAACCTTGGATCTTCTCAAGTTGGCATTTAATGCGCCACCAACGCAAACTAGTATGTTGACACCTTTTCACCTACCAACCAAACATTGAATGGTGGAGTAACCTACATTTAGTCAAGATGGAGCACATTTTCACAATGATATGGGTTGAGCATCCCGCTTGGCCTTGGTTATCCAACCCTTCCTTTCTGAGCACCATTTTGACCACCTTTACATCCCTTCCTAAGTGTCTACTAATGATTGTGAGTCATAACGTGGCGTAATTGACATATGGGTAGATTTGTCTTCGGAGACTTGTGCCATAAAGCTATCAATCCGCCCATGTTCCCTTGGTAGTTGAAAAGCTCTTCATGTATCCTGGTCGGAAGGAGCAAGAGGTGGTCAACTTTAGTGCTTGGGAGCATCATCTTCTAAGCTCCTTAGACATTGGGCTTTTCAATCTCCTTGGGTTTTTCGTGGCGCCTTTCTCGGATTGCATCATTATAACATTAACATATATTGTCTATCCTGTGCACACATCTTCTATGTCTAATATTTTCATTTCGTCAACTGAGTTGAGAAAACTCATTCAAGTGTTTGTTTCATTGACATGATGGGCTTTTTAGTCGTCTCAGTAGTTAATGTAGGGATAATTTGTGATCTCTAATGACGAAGTCGTCAGGGATGGAATCCGGTGTAACTTGGTTTTTTCGTAGCATGAGTATTTCTGAAGTTTTAGATGTCTAAAATGTGCCAACAAGCTAAAAGGACCAAAGAACTCATGTCACGTAGCGGCCTATTTCAACCTAACTGATGGCATGAGATGAAGTGGGACACAAATAATGAATACATGGAGTAAATTAAGACAGTAGAGTTAGTGTTGGCGAATAAGATCCCACATTGGTCATATAACAAAATAATATACAATTAATGTATTGGAGTTTTTACCCCTAATATAACCAAGTCATTTTGTGATAAAATCGAAGACCTAATAATATGTGGTTAAGTTAAGACACTATTAGTGATGGACTATGCTGAGTCTTTAAGGTTTATCAGTTAGTGTGTAGGATGTAAAGTTAAAGATATTCTACAGAGTATGAGAGGCATAGTAATACAAAATTGATTTGGTAGCTAGATATATAATGTAAGTCGGCAATTAGTTATTGTTAAAGAGCCCTTGAAAGTTATTGTAAGAACGATTATACCACATTAACTTGAAGAGAGAAGTGAAATTCCTTTTCCAGAACAGTATATTCAACTGTAGTAGTAAATTCATTTTTAGATAGAAACGCAAAGAGAGTCATTTTCGCTTACAGCTATTTATTATAGTTGAATGTGTTTAAACTTTCAGATTGTGTCTATATATAATAACAAATAAAATATGGGTTCGTTTGGATGTGCTTTTAAAATTATTGAAAACGTTTTTAGAGAAAATGTTTTTTGGTTCCAAAAGCACTTAAAGGGCTTCCTAGATGTGCTTATTCCAAGAAGCACTTTAAGTGTTTTTCCAGAATTTACTTACATTTTTACTAAGAATTGGTTCCAAAAACATTTTCACCAAAAGCACTTTCAGTCATTTCAAAAGTATATCCAAACGAGCTCTATAACACTAAAAGCAAATGAGAAGGCTTAACAAGCACTCGGGATGGGGTCAAGTTACTCTTGAGTGAGTGCTTGAGTTGCTCTCGAGGGAGTATCGAGCCATGAGAACTAGACAAATGAATTTTAGTGCAACTAAAACAAAAATACTCCATAGTCAATATGAGAAACGATAAGAGCACTCAGGGTCGGCCCTGAGGGTAGTCAGAGTAGGTGGCCGCCTAGGGCCCCTACTTCGGGGGGGGGCCCCAAATTTTTTTTATTTTTATTTTATATAGGGAAATGTTATTGACACTCCAAAAATCTCATCCTACACTCTTCACAAGTGTATTTTTTTTTTTTTTCAAATATAGAAAGTTTGGAATGTAAAATGAGAATTTTAGAGTGCCAATCATAATTATATATATATATAGATATATGTGTGTGTGTATATATATATATTTATATATATAATTTTGTAGTTTGAGTAAAATATCTAAATATAAAATTATAAATATTTTTTTGGAACTTGCCGTGTAGTGTTTAGGGTTGGGGGGGGGGGCATATTTGTTTTTAAATATGTGTGTATATTATTATATAAATATATTTTTGGAGTTTGAATTTAATAAAATATTTAAATTTAAAATCTTATAGTTGTCTTGAAAGTTGAAACTTGGTGTACAAAGTGGTGTACAAAGTGTCTAGGGTGGGGTGAAACTCCAGCAACAATTCACCCTTTTTTTGGGAATTTAATGCACAGAGCAACTAAAGCAAGTCTCCGCCTGCGATTGCGAATTGGTTCTTCTTTCCCACTCCACTTAGAGCAGCTCCAGCGGGAGCTCCTGCTCTAGGGACGGGCTTCGGAACAGGGCTGGATTGCCCGAGGAAGTAAGTCCAGCGTTGGCTGGCGAGGGAGCCCGAGCAGGCTTGAGCGCCAGGCCTGTCGATTCGTGCCAGCCAGAGCACCCGAAGGCAGTTTGACGTGGGCTGACGTCAGGACGACGTCTCCACGCTTTTTGAGGGCCACGTAGACGTGGGTTCCGACGAAACCGACTGTGCCGGTGACGAGAACGGATCTTTGCCGCTTCCTTTTCTCGCGACCACCGTCTCTTGTTGCTACTGCAACTTCAAATTCTGGGTTTTCAACCAACCCCTCTTCCATTTCGGCAAGACCCATTGCTGGATTCTCAGGGCTTGGTTCTCCGTCGGCGTCGGATTTGATTTAACCTTGCTCTTCTCTGTCTCCCTCCTCCTCATATGGGAGCTCGGCAGAGCTCTCAATCTCTTCTTCGTCCACGGTGAAGACAAGTTTTGTGAAAAAAATACTATTATTTTATAAATAAAAAAATAAAAACATACTATTATTTTATAAATAAAAAAATAAAAAAATACTATTATTTTATTGCTTATTACCATGACTATTCAAGTGCAACGGTGGAGATGCAAAAGGCAGTTACTGTTCATTAAGGGTAGTTACTGTTCACTAGATGGATTGAATAGTGAATAACCTGGGGGGAGGGCTCTCACGCTGGAGTTGCTCTTATAGAGGTCAGGCACCCGATCAATGCTTCTCTTCTCTTCTTTTTTTTTTTTTTTTTTTTTTTTTTTTAAATTTAATTTGTGAGTGCTGTGTTTGTAAATATAATTAGGATTTTTTATTCTAGGGTTTATGATTTGTTTATTTTAATGTGTATTGTTTATGCGAAATCAAAGTATTCACTTGTTCAGTGTCTACATTGCAATTATAAAATTCGAACTTATGGATGCACTTAATAAAGTGGTTAAATCCCTTCAAGAAGATACATAGATTATGGGTGCACTTAACAAGGTTGGTTACTTTTGCTTCCTAACTAGTTTTGGTTCAAGATAATTTAAAGCTTCGATGTTGAATTTTACCATATTTTTTATGCGCCTCATTTTGTGTTGTGTCATTTGTATCAAACTGTTGTGTTGGGTAGTGGGTAAAATTTGAATTTTAGTTTGTTTCTTTGTCAATTTGTTGTTTACAGAATATTGAGTTGATTGTTGATTGTGGGGTTGATTTCCTGATTGAAAAAGAGTTGGTTATCATGCCTTCTATTAGAAATAGTAAGCCCATTAACAGAAACAGAAAGTATCTCTCTAGGTCTCAAAAAAGAAGAAATAAGGAAAATGAAGAAGCATTAATAAAGTCTCAGGCTGGATCTCTTAGTAAGTTTTTCAAGAAATAAGACGATAGTTCAGTGAATGAGGAACAAGGGAATCATGACAATAATAGGGAGAAAGATGAATTCACGACTGAGACTGATAACGAGCGATATAAGCTTCTATCTGACGATGGTAGTAAAGAGCAAGAAGATGAACTTCTGATTGAGACTGACATTGAAGAACATGATCAAACTAATGAGAATGGTAAGGATAATGAAATTGTCTTTCCTTTGAATATTGATGATCCAGGGAATTGGGATAAGATTGATCAAAATCTTAGGGACATGTTAGTGGAAAGAGGTCCTAAAAGAGTTGATGATGTTGCATTTCCGAAAGATAATTCAGGTAGGCATTTTTCTTTTGTACATTACATTAGTAAATTGCCTAATGGAGAGACGCAAGATAGGAAGTGGCTGGTCTACTCATGTTCTTTGGATATAGTATTTTGTTTTTGTTGCAAGTTATTCAAGCAAATTGGAATCAAGACTTACCTGGATAATAAGGGTTTGAAAGATTAGAAGAATATTGGTCACATGCTTACAACTCATGAAACTAGCAAGGAACACATTTATTACATGAGTGAATGGATTGAATTGGAAAGAAGATTGTAAAAATGTAAAACAATTGATGAAAGTGAGCAACAACAAATCAGCAAAGAGAAAGAACATTGGAGACAAGTGTTATAGAGGATAATTGCTGTTGTGAAAAGACTTGCAAAAGTTACTTTGGCATTTCGTGGAGACAATGAGAAAATGTATGAAGAGACTAATGGAAATTTTTTAAATGTGATTGAAATGATTGCTGAATTTGATTCTACAATGCAAGAGCACATTCGGCGTATTGACACACATGAGACTCATTACCATTATCTTGGCCACAAGATTCAAAATGAATTGATACAACTGTTGGCAAGTGAGGTCAAAAGTGAAATCATAGCAAGAATCCAAGAAGCAAAGTATTTTTCAGTGATACTTGATTGCACTCCGAATGCCAGTCACGAAGATCAAATGTCTCTTATAATAAGGTGTGGATGTTACAAAAACTCCAATAAAGGTTGAAGAATTCTTTTTAGAATTTCTGAATGTACATGACTCAACAGGGTGTGCACAGTTTGATGTGCTTTTAGGTGCATTGAGCACTCTTAAACTTGATGTTGATGACATAAGGGGACAAGGTTATGACAACAGTTCAAATATGAAAGGCAAAAATAAAGGCGTGCAAAGCAGAGTACTTGACATAAATCCTAGAGCATTTTACACTCCATGTGGTTGTCATAGCCTTAATCTTGCACTTTGTGATATAGTCAACTGTTGTCCTAGAGCTATGTCTTTTTTTGGAGTGGTACAACGTATATATACATTTTTCTTATCCTCAACAAAGCGATGGAAAGTTTTTATAGATCATGTGCAAGGAAGTCACACCCTCAAACTGTTGTCACAAACTCGTTGGGAAAGTCATATTGAAAGTGTTAAACCCATAAGAGAAAGTGCTCAACAAATAAGAGATGCTTTGATTCACTTGGCAAATACTAGTGAAGGTCCTAAGTCAAAGAGTGAAGCCGAATCCCTAACAATCCATGAGCTGGAGAATTTTGAGTTCTTGTTTGGTATGGTTATTTGGCATGAATTGTTGTTTGCTATTAATATTGTTAGCAAAACTCTTCAAAAAGAAGACATGCATATTGATGTTGCTATTGATCAATTGAAATGGCTTATATCCATTCTTGATCAGTATAGAGAAACTGGATTTTAAGAGGCAATGAATGAAGCTTAGAAAATAGCAAGTGAGATGGAGATTGAACCTATTTTTCGTGAGAAACGCATCATTCGAAGAAAGAAATAGTTTGATGAGAGTGCTAGTGAAGCGGCAACACAATCAGCAATTGAAGCTTTTAGAGTTGATTACTTCATTTATATAGTTGATCAAGCTCGTACTTCACTTCATATCAGGTTTGAACAATTTCATAAATACGAAGAAACTTTTGGGCTATTGTTTAATTTGAAGAAGTTAAAAGATGTAGACAATGATAGCTTGAAGGGTTTTTGTATCAATCTTGAAGGATTTCTGAAACATGGTGAGCATTCTAATATTGATGGAAAAGACTTATTTATAGAGCTAAGAATCTTAAGATAAACTTTGCCGAATGAAATAAATCGAGCAATGGAAGTGTTGAAATATATAAGACAAATGGATGGTTGTTTCCCTAATGCATGTGTATTTTGTTAACCATACCAGTTACAGTTGCCTCTGCAGAAAGAAATTTCTCAAAATTAAAGTTGATCAAATCGTATCTTCGATCAACTATGTCACAAGAAAGATTAAATGGGTTAGCTATTTTGTCAATTGAAAAAGAATTGGTTGAAAAGTTAGATTATGTAAACTTAATTAATACATTTGCGTCTAAAAACGGGAGACGTGTAATATTTAAGTAATGCTTGCATATATTTCTTTTTTGGATATGAATTCTGATGATTTTTGATGTAGAAATGAACTTTTTCATGTATTTAGTGAAATCTTTTCTTATACATATAAATGTACAATGAGTTGGGTGTCAAAGAACTTTAAGGCCCCCACTCGAAGGCTCGCCTAGGGCCCCAAATTTCTCAGGGCCGGCCCTGAGGAAAGCCCCTTAAGCAATAAGCAACTCAATCATCTTAAATGAACAGTAATTGTCTGCAATGAACAGTAACTGCAAAGTGCATCTCCTCCCCTAAATCGAATAGCTCAGCAATTCGTATTAAAATATTAGTATTTTTAATTTTATAAAATAATAAAAGATAATTTTATTTTTAATTTCGAATAATAATAAAAGATTAGTTGAAAGTATTTGAAAATATTGAAATGTAGTGTAAAGTGGAAGAACATGGTTACGTATTTATAGAAAAAAAATTATAATATTTTATATTTATAGTTATTTTATTATAATTTTTAATATTTAAATTGTGGCTCACGTCACCCTTACGTCACATAGACAGGGCGCTGAGTTAGGCGATTATTGCCTGACTTTTCCACCGGGCTCGCCTTGGATGGAATTGTCCGAGTGGGTTGAAGTGTTTTGGATAGGGGAGAGACCAGATTGGGTTGCCTATCCCCAAGGCAATAAGAAATGGTGGAATTGCTCTAAGGAGGCTCTCTCAAAAGTGACTCTTTATAAATTCTCTATCATCTCATTTTTTTTGCACAATATGTTATAATATTGACATGAAAATTAACGTTAAACTGTGGTATGTTAAAAAGTTCATAAAATGTCTCACTTTGAGACTCTCCTTATCATTTCTCTAGTCAATATTTATCAACACTGAAAATATGAAGATAGACGATGAATGAATTCGATAAGTGAGTTGAACCCACTCACGTCTTCGCCAGCAAGTGAAGGAGCAATTAATACATGGTTTGTCTTGCAATCGTCACGCATAGCATGCAAAGTGGATAAGTTCTTTGCAAGAAAAGGCCAGATGTTTGTCAGTTTGTCAAAAAGGGAGTAAAGAGACGTATCATTTCAGATTTTAGTGAAGCAAAATCAACCATGCAATTGCCAGGTACAGCAGAAACAACAAGCTCCTTATGCTACATGGCAGAGAGAGATCAACGAACCACCCTGCGTCTCTAAGCCCACCGATTCCTCTCTCAAGAGTAACTTGTAAGACATGCGTACACCGTAGTATATCGTGCAACAATGTAAGAATATGAAGAAAAGTTAAACACGTCTTTTGCACGAGATGTCATGATGTACTCGTACCATACAAGTCATTTTCCTTTCAACAAAATTAAGCTGAATCTGCCTCTTAGTGTACCAAGATATGACAATTCGTGCTCTAGACTTAATCAAGTAATTCATTATCGATCTGAACTTAACCAAGTTGATTTGAGCAGTGTGCTACCTAAGTTTGAACCTTCTCCTTAATTAAATAAATTTGATGTAAAATATATGAAAAAAAAAGAGAGATTCCAATTAATTGAAAAGGGTTTATTTACCACATACATAAGATTTAGATAATTTATATACTCCCACATAAGAAGATCAGAAAATATAAAGCATGCAAACTTAAAAGAAAAGTACAGTAGAGTAAAACAACATGACCATCATAACAGAAAGGAAGATTGAGAAAGGAGATGAATTAGCAGCATGGTTGTCATCAGGGTAAGGCACATATCCTCCTGGTGGAGAAAGGTATTGAGGATTTTGAGGGTATTGCTGGCAGCACTGACCAGGCTGAGTTGGGGGGCACTTTCCTTGACCACGAGGCGGCGGTGGCGGCGGTACTCGTCCATAAGGGTAGCCAGGACTTGAGCTGGGTGGCGGTGCTGGTGGAGGAGGGCCATATAAAGGGTACCCTGGAGTTGGTACGGAGGGAGGACACTGACAAGAAGGGCAGTTGGCACAATTATCAGTAGGGGAAGGATTTGCATTTCTGGTAACCTCCTTAGCAGCCACAACAAGGTTGAAGAAGATATAGAGAGAGAGTGCTGTGACAAACGCAAGTTTTGCAGGAAACATTCTTCCTCCTTGTGGCTAGCTAGAAAGAGAAATGAATAGAAACTAAGGGATACACACACACACACACGCAGAGAGAGAGAGAGAGAGAGAGGGAGGAGAGAGAGAGAGGAGTTATTTGGTGTATAGAAGAAAGAAATTGATAAGATCATATTATTGTAAATTGTAATATAGAGAAGCATGCACCAGCTTTCAACAGTGGTTTTCTGAATCCCGGATTTGGTGCCGCATGGCAGACCATCTGTCATAACAGTGTACAAGTAGCATATAAAGATTTAACTTACTATGCATGCTTTTCTATACATACGGACAACTCGGAAGGAAAGAAAATTAATTAAAAAACTAAACGGTTTCGGTTATAGAGTTTATATAGTTAAGATAATTCGTTAAGGGTGAGATTAACTCTTTAAGTACTCATCCATGCGAGTGGGCTAAGCCGAGTGGCTTATGGAGATATATTTTAAGATTAAATATAAAACTCATTAAGAATAATTAAGAATGTACATAGAGCAAGTATGTCAAATGTAACCAAAATGTCATACACGTCAAAAGAAACACCACAACTCTTAACTATAAACTCATCAAAAATACAATGCAATTCATCAGCTACGGTTGACACACATCTAACTAAAATGCAAAATAACACTCATCAGAACTAAACTTTGTCAGTAGTAGTAGAGTTGCTGTAAAGGCACCACAATGAACAAAATTCAGTTTTCTCCTCATGGTTATTTTCCATGCATACAAACCACAAGAAACATAAAATCACCTCCTCGACTTTGCTCAAAATTAGTGAGTTTGAGTCGGAAGTCATAGACATTACAAAGCTCTACTTGATAGAGCGAAAGAGCGATCACAACCAGAAAGAGTTTTATCTCTAAAGTAAAAGAGGGACCACATCCAAGGATGCAAATGGTTATTTAATGGGATAAACAAAGAAAAATAAAGAGGGAAGAGACCAGAAAGAATTGCCGTCGACGCTAAGGCCAAAAGTAAAAGTTAAAAACTTATGGTTCTTTTTTCTCTCTATAGCAGAGAAGAACTAGGGCTCAAAACTATTAGTGCTTAGTTGTAGAGAAACAATTTTACGTGTGATTCTGACAACGTCATAGTTATTAATATATCCATGTTATAGCATGAATGAGCCATAATGTTGATATTTTACCCACCAAAGTATGTTAATAAATAAATGTATGCTATGCAGATAACAATGACACTAAAAAATATCTCGTGAAAAATGGCAAAATTGTAAATAACGTCAATCTAATTTTGGTTTAAAGTTTCTAGACATACGGAGAGGAGGATCCCAACACCGTAAGTAAACCATGTTAACTTGTGTTAAACATCATCATCTGTCTTCACTCTTCATTTGGTCTCCTGAATTGGATTGAATGTATCAATTCCTATTCCACTTTCACCTTGAATATAGTTATCTATTCCCATCAAATCCTAGCGACCAAGCGAGGTCTATTAGTCCTGTGTCTAGAGACAGTGACAAATATAAAACAAAAATAGAACAACCTACACGGAGATATTATAAATTATCGAAAATTATTGAAGCGTCTATGACTGATATATAGAAAATTATCGAAGGATCTATGACTGATCAGAAGAACATAGGCACTGCATATCCTGCCTATTTAAATACAAATAACTCAACTTATGGTCAAAAACTGATGTTATAGGCAGTGGAGAAAATCCAGCATATTCTCTGTCTAATTTTGCCGAGCAAAGTTCAAGAATGTACTTGAAGAGCTCATGTTTCTGGGTGACTGGTTGAGCTGCAAACTCCTCAAGTGGAATCCACTGCATGAAATAAAACAACGTCACAGATTTGTAGTGAATGCATATGAATTTCAGTTTGTTTAACAAAAACATTATTAATCTACCCAAATTAGATTTGAGCAGTATTCAAAGTTCAAACACATCATCGTCGAAAAGTTACCTTGGCTGCCTCGATCTCCAGTTCTTGCTTTTGGATGTCAAAGGTTAGAGGACGCAGCATGCACACGAAGAATAGATCCGACTTCTCAAAGAATGCCTTGTGTGCTTGCCTAAAGGTAGCAGAAAGAAGAATGTGTCACAACATTTGAAGTTCAACAAATTTGGTATTTGTTAGAATAAAAGCCTCCGATGAAGCCAAATAACTGTATAGAAAACATTATGCTACACGTACATGATCGGTTCCAGAGTTTCGAGAGAGGTACTCTCATAGGATTTATTTTCATCAGAAGCATGGCTTGAGTTATGTAACTAATGTAGCAGAGTCACAGCCATTGGAGCCAGACCAGATTAGTTAGATAATCACTTGCTTAATGGGAATATTATCGCCAACCCATTTACTAAACATAATTAAACAAGAAAGCAAATAGAATTACACAAATGACAACAGATCACTGCAGGAGTGTGGTTTGAACCCGTTAGTTACACGACTGAGACTGTTAACGTCAATGTTCACGGCCAAGCCCCCTTTCAGTCACATCCTTGATAGCCAATGATATTGGTTCACAGGTAAGGTACAGGAGAATTTGGTTCTTTATAATCATATTTTGCAGCTCTTTTATGGGATGTATGGCTTAGTTTTTCTCTCTCCAGTCAAATTTGATATCTTACAAGATTTCAATTTAAACGCACATGAATTCAAGAGTGCGCAAACTGGTACCTGAATGCTAAAATCTCCAGAAATTCTGCGTCGATCTGAAGAAGTTAAAACCAGTGATCTTCATCACAACATAAATAGTGGTAACATAAACTACAAGGCTTGCATGAATAATATAGATTGATAACTTACTCCTGTTTCTTCTTTGACTTCTCTTATGACAGCTACAAATATATCTTCACCCTGCAATTGAAGATCTAATTTGATGTCCAATACTCTAGGGCATCATAGTATTTAAATAACTAAAGTACTTCTTCTTTGAGGACGTTAGGGTACACACCTCGTCAACGACTCCAGTTGGGATTTTCCACACCCCTGTTCCTTGGAACCTGCCACTCTTTTCCTGGACTACAAGCATCTGTGCAGAAGAAAACTAAGTTCGAAACCAGCAACAGATGACAACAGGGTTGTTATACGGAAGACAAATGATAAGCCTACCAAATAATAAACAAAGAAGAACAAGAGCAGCGAACAAGGTGGAAAAGTTTAACATACAGCAGTATGCACACTCACTGAATTAGAAAAACGAAATATTTGGTTGAATTAGAGCGAATTGGCAGTGAAATAATCTGAAGGCGCAAGGAAAGGTGAGACAATTTATTAGTTATCTAATTTGAACTGTTGCTCCAAATCATTCAGAGACCAACAGCTACTCAGCCTTTTACTTTATCCAAACAATTAACAAATAGTAGATGAGAGCGAGTACCTCTTTTTTATCATTCAAAACAATAGCACCAACACCTACTCGATGTGATGCATTTGCAGGTAGAGTATCATTAATTTCAGGAATCCAATAAACAAGCATGAGGTAGTGCGGCTCAGCATGATGGTACCGAAAACCCTCCTGCAATCAACATAATAGATTCAAGCCAACTCAACAGATTTGTTCAGATTAATGGACAGAATACGACATAATGCTCATCAAATCATATCTGTAGAGTACCTTAATCCCTGGTTGTTACCTTTTTTTTTTTTAAATTGATTGTAATTAGTTTCTTCAAGCGAAAAACTATTGTGCCAGAAACTATGCAGGGTATCAGCTTCATTCTTCTTTTTTTGTTGTATATAATATATAAGCATTCTGAGAGTTATGTATTGTGTAGATTCAGTTTACCGACCGGGCTCTAAGTAAGAGTGTAGTTTCATTTACTAGTCTAAAATACACAAAATCTTGCTTTTTGTGATAAACAGTCGCAACACAGAAGATCACGAATTACACGAAAATCAACGATGAATTTATAAATCAAATCATATATGATCTGTGGTATATTGGACGCAGTGCAAGCAACATAATTATTATTGGCAAGAAGGTCTGCTAGTTCCTCAGATGGTCATGTCCCCTTTATAGTGCAGCTCATAACTCACAACCAGCCTTTTGAATTGAAATTACACAAATTTGTACGGCGACATTTAGGCTGAATAGTGTGTGGTTACCTTAACTGCAGTTTCAACAAGATTTACGAGTTCAATGGGCAATTTTATCCAAACACCTTTCTTTCCCTGCGAAGTCAATATGAAAAGTTGTAGTACAGACGAAAGAAACGGTCACAATATCCATCAAGAAAGAAACAAACGCTGTTCACAAGTTCATTATTGCATATCAAACAGCTGGTGTACTGAAATATTTTATCAATATCATAGAAAGCATATCATATAGGCAAATAGAATAGATCATCAAACTATTAAACCAAGATTGTCCAATGAACAAGTTCATATCCAATGAGAAGCATAGATAGCAGCACCTCTTCCCTCCATTGCGAGATTGATGCCCTAAGCAACGTAAGAAAGTCCTGAGGGTCCATAGCATCCTTCATGTCTACAATAACTCCTCCATGGGCATCATTGATTGCAGGTAGTAATTCAACACCATTTTCACAGACCTGGTTCGATGAATTTACAGAACTCGGCATTGTTCTAACCACAACAGTCACAAAGACAACAAAACCTGAAAGCAAACATCCAGAGAAGCAAAATAATGAAAACCAAACTACGTTACACCTCTATTGTTTATAACGATTGTGATCTCAAAACCGAATATCCTAACGGAAATACAATCAAATAACGGCAGCCCCATTTGTCAAGTTAGCAGTGATTCTTGATGAAAATTACTGTGGTAGGCAGCCGTACTTCACTAGTCAACTCTAAACAAGAGCAGCAGATATAAGAAGCTCGAAACTGAGATACGCACATACACATAACATATTTAAATTAAAGATGAAATCAGCACAAAAACAACGAAAAATCTACCGTGTTCCAGAGTATTGAAAACTCCCAACTTTTTAACCATTTATACCTTCTTCTGTTTTTTTCACCAATGATTCAATGTTTAATAGACCTGAAATATAAAATACTTTGAAGCACCATAAAAACTTCGAAGAAAACTTACTTGCGGACTACGAGCCTTCGACTCGATATTATTGTCACTGTGTTGTGTGGTGTATTTGAACTCCAAGTCTCTCTTATCAGTTGTGGGCGTTTTGGGTATTTAAGGGGGTAAGGGTGTGGATGCGGGAAAACTACTCTGCGGTGAAGTGGATGGTGACGTAGTTCCACTTGTTTCAAGGACCAATGGCATCTCTGCTCTGGGTCCCACTGTTGACATGTAGCCAGCATACGTGGAGGGAAGTTAGTGGGTAGACATCAATTTGGATTCCATCCAGATCTAAATTGTGAGAATTCTAAGAATTCTTGCATTTTAGTTATTCATCGTACATTGTGCGATCAGAAATTATTTGATTTTTTTATTTAAAATTAAACACAAATAGTATTTGACGAAAACTGATCGCACTGATATACGATAAACGACTAAGATGTAAGAATCTCAAAGATCTTTACAAAGTGGATTTGGGGAAAATCCTCTTCCGTAGGCGCCAACTATTAAATGATGATGTGTCCGCTTAGATTTAACATATTTACTGACGTGGATGCCACCTCTATGGTACGTGGACAAAGAATAAATAAACTAAAATTAATTATTTTAAAATGTCAAAATTCACAAATTTAATTAATAACATACGATTATCTAAAGAAATCATTTTTCTCATGATTCAGATTCGAAGGATGATGAATAAGAAGAAACTGAAGCAGCTTTCTTTGAAATATGGTACAATAGATGATTGTGTATTTCAACTGTTGACACAATGGAGATGATTATGTATTTTAAAATATAAAGCGTCAGTGGTGTGGTTGTAGGGTTTGGATTAAATCTTATTTGAATTTTTTTTGTGAGTATTCTAGAGATCGGTATATCTTATTCGTTAATTGTACATGGTAAGACTAGAACATTTTTAATTTTTAATTTAAAATTAAATATAAACAATATCTAACTAAAGTTGATCACATAATATATGATAAATATATATAATATGATAATCACTAGGATCCTCACCAAGAGGATCCTCATCTCTACGGTTTATGGTTGTGTGGTCTTATGGTTGTTGTGTATGTTTAATTCTTTATTGCTGTGTCCTTAAGTGGGTGGAGTTAAATTAGGAGTTTTAGCATTGACTGTGGGGCAAAAAGAAATGAACTTGGTAACTTCTTCGGCAAATGACCGGAACAAATCCACTTACAAAATTCACCATGTGGTTCAGATCATGAACAAGGGAATTAATGAAAAATACAATCAAGGTGAATTTATTTTCTTAAATTGGCATTCTGCTGATCTACAGTTTTTAGTAATCAACAAGTGTAGAATTTAATTGATGAAATGGGGGAAAATGTGAGAGGTTCCGGATTCGATACTTCGAACTGGTAAGTCTGCTTGACTGCGGCGATGGGCAGGGTGAAATTCTTCATAGCCTCTCTGAGCTCGGAATGAGTGAATTACTGTGACTTACCACCAGTTGTTCCCCTTATTTAAAAAAAAAAAAAAATTGATGATATGGAGAAACATGATCCAAGAATTGTTTATGGTTCACAAGATTAAGAAGACTGTTGGTGAAGGTTCAACTAACCTGAGGACCTAAAGCGTCAATGAAACGGCTTATATGTTCCTTAGGGCTACCTTTCCCCCCGTGAAAGAGGACAAGGTTAAGAGTCTTGTATCCCTTAGGATAAGGCATGTGGAGAAAGCTGACCAGGTACGTATGGTGGCTCAGGAGCATACTTCCAGCTCTTCGAGCTCTTGCGCAACTTCTTTTCCAGTATGGCAATAACATCTTTTTGAGTGACAAAGGATGACATATTTTCAGAACATTTGCCTGCAGCAGTAGCTGACTCTTCCTGGGAAGTCTTTTCCTTGAGCTTTGGAATTCCAGATGGCCCACGAAATCATTAAGACCAGACCGATATTGAGAGATGAAAGGTTGGTCGCAAGGTCTAATGACAAATCCATCACGAATAAGGATTCAGGGAATTACAGTAGAGCTCCCAAAGGAGAGCAAATCCAAGAACATCGAGCAAAGTGGCAATCCTAGAATAGATGAAAAGTAGATTCCAAACGGAGTTGTAGTAGATGTAGGAAGCATCCAATGAAATCCGTTTTTTTAGAGAGATTGACTCTCTTGGGGATAATGTCCCTGCACACACACTAGGCAAGCATGCAGACCTTGGGGGGATTTTTGCGTTCCAGATATTAGACCAGAGAGTTTAAGTTGAGCTCACACCAGCTGAGGTAGAAGCCCATTCAAGGTCGGCATGATCTTCCTAGCAACGTGATATGCCGATTTGACAGAGATGACACATTTATGTTCAAAATACCACTTTAGACAATCACCCACATTTCTAAGACTTAATGGAATGGATCAAATTAGATCAACTTCAACATAAGAGAATAGGCCCTTGAGAATCTCTAATTTTGCTCAAGATAGACAAGATTGTCTTTATTAAATGGACAGGGCATACAAATATTCCCACGTGTAGCATAGCAGCCCTAAAAGTTGCCTAAAGCTCCCCTGCTGGTGGCATGGAAAAGTCAAACGTATTAAATATATGATTAATTTCTAAATCCCATCTTTAATACAATAAGATCAACCATATTAAGGAATCCTTATCACAATTAATTAGGGATATTCTAACCATTATCCGAAGATATTATCTCCTAATTAATATATTGAGAATATACTTTCTTGATACATCCAACGAATGACAAACCTTGGCCATTGGGATGCCGCCATGTGATCACTCATATATTTCATGTATTTATATCATCCATTTGTAGTCTCTTTGTGATGTTTTTGAGTTAAAATGGTTGCATTTTATCTTGTTTTGTGTTAGTATGCAGTTACATGTACTTTAGGATCAAGTTAAAGGGAGAAAAAGTGAAAACAAGCCATTTCTGGAGCTAACCCTTACAAAAACATGGAGAGAAGTTCAAATAAAAGTTTCTCATGTGTTACTAACATGTGAGTATGGGTGTGCAAAAGCTGCTAACATGTGAGCATGGGTTGCAAAGCTATGGAAAGACAGCAGAGCATGAGTTTTACAAACAAATATTTCCATGTGCTTGATGGGATAGCTATGTAAACCATTTGAACCCCATATTCCATTATTTTACAACAAAATATCTTGCAGCCTCTTTTACCCCATAAAAGAGGGCCTTTCAAATCACTTAGAGGAAGCTCCTCCTTAGGGATGCCCAAAGCTCTGTCTCTCTCTTCTCTTTCTTTAGCCTTTTTTCCAAACACAACTGATCTCATTCGAATCCCATTCCATCTAGAACATTCTTGGAGAAGTTCAACATCAGAATTGCTTCAAGGGGTTTCTTCTATGAACTTTAATTTCACTCATGTTATTCTTGATATTTATATATTTTGTAGCTCATGTTATGTAATTAAGTTCATAGTTGGGGATTTCGATGTAACCCTGCAAAACTACTCTATGTTATTAAGTTAAAGTATTCAAACTACCAATATGTGCTCTTGTTTCATTCACTGGTTTTATAGTTTAATTTGTTTGATAATATTAATGTTTGATCACCATTATGGCTGCTTATGAATTATTTGATTAAGGTTATAGTACACATCATGCTTAATCTTGATAGACATGTGAACGAATGAAGAAACTGCTATGCATACATCTTGCCATGTGATTTCTTAGGTTCTTTGAAGTTTTCTTGTTCTGAATGGATTCTTATTTGGTAATCTAAGTTGAACATCACAACTAGGTTGCAAATTAGGAGTACTTGATCACAACCACATATCAAATGGAAGATCATAAATAAGTAAAACAAAACCCTGTTTCAGATTGGAGAGTTGAATATGTTTTGTCTTAATTTTCATGGAATTAGCTTGTAATGGTGAAATCGATTTCCCTAGTTCCATTGCCATCGTTTCTGAATCATTCTATTATTCAAATTTACATCTCTGCATTTTAAGTTTTTGTACTTTTCAAATCAAAATCCAAACTCAATTTGTTAGTTTCATTGTTTATTTATGGTTCACATAAAGCTCGTAATTTGTAGAGGTCCAATAAGTCCCTATGGTTCGACACCCTTACTTGTGCTACTATATTATCCTTATATTTGCACTTGAAAGGAATAACAAACAAAATGGTGCCATTGCCAGGGACTGATCTCAGTCCGATCTAATTGCTCTCTTTATAAACCCTATCTGTTTTTGTTTTCTTAGTTTAGATTTTTCATTTACAATTTAGTTTATTTTGATTTCAGTTTGTAACCAAGATGTATGGCAAATGTCCATTATGTGCTAAAACTAGCCATCATCTTTAATTTTGCCAAGGAGAGATGAGTTTCCTATATTTGTTCAAGAGCACTCACAGCGCATGTGTTTCTCTAATCAAGGGCCACTACAATCATTGCCAAATACATACAGCCTTGCTTGGAGGAACTTTGATCATAACTCTTGGAAAAACATGGAAGCTCCAAATCAAGCATTTGCACCTCCACCACATCAGCCCCCTCTTGACACTTCATTGGAGGACACTTTGGAGCTACTTGCTCAAAGCACTTTGCAATTTCAACAATCAATGAGTAGCATGATTCAAGAACACTCCATTGCACTCACCAAGTTGGAAATTCAATTGTGACAGATTGTCCAAGGGCTAAATGAACAACCATGTGGTGATGGTCAAGATGTGAATGTTGAACAATCATTGGAATCTAGATGTGCCTATATACATAGAAAAGTTCTTGAATTTGAATCTTTTTCCCAATCTTCTAATTCACTTGAATTTTTTTCAAACATTGTGTTGGATTATCCCTTTTGTTTTACATTTTTACATGTGCCATCTTTAGAATCTTTGAGTGATGGTTTATTGCCATATCAAGAGGAAAATGAATTGAAGTTGGATGACGAATCATTGTTGCCCATTCACCATAAGAAAGAAGATTCGGAGCTAGACAATGAGATGGTTGCCTAGAACGAATTTCATTCATCCTTAGCAATCACGAACCCATATGTTGAAACCATTGCTCC